TTAGCACCAGGAACTTGAATTTGGCGAATGTACAAGTATTTCTCTCAAGAAAAATATATTAGAGTGATAGAGAAAAGATGAGGTTTTTCGTTGTTATGTTTTGTGTCGTTTTTGTTAAAGGATGAAAACCAAACATGTTTTATTTGAACTCGCCTGAGCCGAAGGCCATTTTTGACGTTTAATATATAGCTAGGCCCAAGTCCCGAACTTCTCTACGTGCAATCCAATTTACTAAATCTTATTCACATAATCTTATAAATTAGTGTTGGCAAACCTTCCTTAATCAATGGGGGACAAAAGAACTAGGTTTAATTTCATTCAAACTTACAACAAAGACATTCTAAAGAAAAATCGCACAATCACCTGACCTTGTGCAATATATAATCCACAATGGGTCGTTCCACAACATCATATCACTCACAAAACACAAACCTATTGTTTCCACATTTCTCTGCAAACACTTTCTAAATATAACTCAAAACTCCCAAGCCAATCATGTTCTTCTTAAACTGGAAACCAAATTCAACCCTAAAAACAAAATTCATCAAACCCCGATATGAGAAACAATGTCAAGGAGGGCTTGTTAAACCCGAACAACAAGAGCTTTAGATCTTACGTACTATGGATATGTGTGGACCAATCTAATGCATGGAGGGCATGCATTTCTTGGTCCATATTCATCTTGTTTGCAATCGTTGTTCCTGCCATTTCCACTTTGTGTTCACATGTGCATCATGCGATGGCAAGCACAAGAGACCTTATGCTAGTGTAGTGCAATTATCTTTGAGTAGCGTCGCGACGGTATCGTTCCTGTGCCTGTCATGGTTTGTGAGGAAGTTTGGGCTCCGGAGGTTCTTGTTTTTCGATAAGCTTTATAATGAGAGCGAGACGGTCAGGAGGGAATACACACAACAGCTCAGTGTGAGTTATTTAATTCAAATTCTCCAATGGACGTTGGTTTGATCCCACAAAAGGTATGAAGGTAGTCTAGTACTAAATTCTAGACACAACAACAACCAAACCCAAATTCAAATTCAAATAATCGTGCTCTTCATCAAGCTCGTGGATAATCAACAAGCACAACAAATACACGTGCCGATTCATCCCCAACAAAGCTGAAGACCACACACTGCGTGAAACTCCTCGTGGTCCCATTTCATTCAAGATTAAGTTTCAACGGCCCTTGAAGAAATGACAAGTCTGATTCAAGATCAAGTGCCAACCATCCTTGGATCAAATTCAACTCCAAAGAAATGAAGCAAAGCTAAACCTTTGGAGGAAACCAGAAAGCTCTCTGGCCAAAGAAGAAACACTCATGTTCTTCACCAAGCTCGCGGAGAATCAACAAGCACAACTACATGTGCCGATTCAACTCCAACAAAGCCGAAGAGCACTCACCACGTGAAGCTATTCGTGGTCCAATTTCATTCAAGATCAAGCCTCAATGGCTCTTGAAGAAACTTTCAGCCTAATTTAAGACCAACCCTCTACAGGCCTTGAAGAAATTTCTAGCCCAATTCAAGATCAAGCCTCAACGGCTTTTGAATTGACATCTACATTGAAGGACTTCAAATCACAGTGGTCAAAGTACATTCACTATGCAAAGAGACTTCAAAACACATATTCTACACCTGACAAACACATGCATACGACGTGCCTTGAAATGGGGGCATTTGTAGACATCGAAATTTCGGTGAAATAAATGCTCTCCAACGTATTAAAGTTTTAATAGGCCAGGGCATATGTGACATGCGCCATGTGTCCCACAAAATCGTACACATGGATGTGACTCATCAAAATTGGACAAGTCATCAAGAAGGACACATGTCAACATTTGGCGGAAATAAATTATTTGATTTTAATTTAATTAAATCAAATATTAATTGATGGAGACAAATCATGAACCGGCCCATAAATCGAGTACTGGTTCTTTCGTCAATTAATCGAGCCCACAATCAAGGCTAAATCCATCCGTAGTCAAGGCTTGGAAAGTCTATAAATAGGAGGCTCCAAGATAAAGAAAAGGGTCTGGAAAATCATTCACGCCCAGACGCTAAAGCTTTGAAACTCTGAAGCTCTCAAGCACTCAAACTCCCCAAACACACAAGAATACTTGGATAGCTCTCCACATTCTTCGTAAAACCCGTGAAGAACCACTAAGCACCCCTACACGTGCCGGTTCCTCCATTGCCAAGAGCCAAAACCTTACAATATCCATTCATCCAAGATCAAGTCATTTGGATCAACAACACTACACACCTTACATTTCGGAGATTGAATAAGAGGATTAAGTTGTAAAGAGATTATAACCCTAAATTTACATTAATACAAACAATTATTTTGTATACATGTTCTTGTCTCATTTGTCGCAGGAAATTCGCGTTAACAATCCTTTATAAATAAATAAAAAATTAGAGTGATATAGTCTATAAGGTTCTAAAAGACGCTAGGCGCTAGTTAGGCGGTCGGCTGGGGCCTAGTGCCTAGGCGGCCTAGGCGGATTTAAGTATATGTGTAAAATTTTAGGACGTTTAATGTTAATTTTGTAACATTTAGTCAGCCCATTTGTTTTAATCATTATTGGGCCTTGTTTTTCACTAAAAGAAGAATTGGGCTTGTTTTCTTATTAAAGAAAAAATAGTCCCTAAATTTTAAATAACTGCCACCTAAGTTCCTAACTAAAAAAAACCCTAACTAATTAGTTACCCTACCGTCGATCCATTTGTTCTCTGCAATTGTAGTTACCCCCTCTCTCTCTCTCTCCCCACAACCAAGCCGTCCCTCTTCTTCAACTCTGCAATTGTAGATCGAGGTTATCTCTCTCATCCCAGCAAATCGCCTTTTTTTTTACCCTGCAGTTATAGATCGAAATTGTTGAGACCGTCGTTGAGCCGTCCAAACCGCAATGGAAGAAAGACATTGCAATCGACTTCTTATCAAAGCGTGACCGCCTAGCCTGCCCAGCACCCGTCTAGGCGCCGCTTAATACCCTTGCCGATTTCTTCAACGATTTTGGTTTAATTGCGGTGGCAAACTGATGAACCAATATTTATACTATATATTTCCTCACTTTTATATTTCTTTTCTTGTCTAGTTTAGTTGGAAGTTTTAAGTTTGTGTGATGGTTTTACCATTTTGTGTTTCTAGGAGCAGCAGGATCGAGTTTGGTGGAAAAGTATGCAAACAGTGAAAGTTTTAAGTAATTCCAATTGGAGCTGATTCACAAGAGACTGAAGATGATCATATCAAGTTTTTAGCTCAAGAATTCCCAGCCAATTGTTCCCAGTTTAAGAATGAAGAAAGTAGACGTTTCAAGCTTTCTAAGGACATCTCATTCATAAATCTAAGGACTTTTGGTCAACCAAACGTTATGGCCAATTATGCCCACTCTAGCTAATAAAATAAGAAAGTAAATGCTTTGTCATCAACAATTGGCAGAAAATTGGGTTTTTAATTCCACTCATTGGACTTTGGAGCAGAAGAAAAGCAGAGAGGAGAAAGTGAAGAGCACAACTGCCCATTCCATTGACTAATAATATAAGGCAATAGAGAGGTGGGTAGAAGAGGAATAAACTGATTGGAGTTTTTTGCAGAGAGTGAAGAACACGGCAGAGGGGAGAGCAAAGAAAAGAAAAATGGGGAGAAAACAGAGGGAGAAAACAGAGGGAGAGCACATAGCAGGAAACAGAAGGGGTGCCGCAACTCCAAATTTGAAGAGAAGAAGAAGCATGCTCCTATCTTTGAGGAGAAGATGATCATAGAGCTCATCTTGTAAAAAATGGTTGCTTTCTTTCCTTGATTTTTAATGGATAATCGTTATGTATTAAAACAAGTATGTGTAACTAATTTCCTTTTGCTAGAGTGAGGCCATGAGCCTCAACATGATTACGTAGATTTCTCTTTCAATTGCTTAAGTGTTGTTACATGTTTGCTTTGATATTTTCAATCACTGAATTAAATTATCTATGTGCCTTGATGCTTAATCACCATTAGGATACTTAGAAAAGTCATCGGATACAATTTTGAATGAATGTCACGTTAAAATTGGTTATGCTTCTTGTGATTGAGGATTGTAATTTCTCCTAAGGTAAATATCATACTTTTAGGGATTACATGGTTTAACATAAGGATTTTCACCAAGATTAATGAATCACTCATGTTTATATAATGTCATGGATAAATTGCATGTAGTGGTATGCGTTTTATCTTGAATGTCACAAGTAAAACATACACAAGGAAAACCCAACCTTCAAAGCATGTGTGTTTTCGATTACTTAAGCAATTGGAAAAGCTACATAGGAGTGTTGTTGGTAAAGGTTGAACTCTAGCGCCTTGTCAATCTAATTTTCTTCAATTATTTGTATTATCTTGAGTTTCTATATTTACTTATGTTGTTTAGCTGGATCACTATTCCTATAAGCCAATTCCCATTTTAAATTTTTGTTTAAGTCATGTACATTAGTATTTAATTTTGTCGAATTAGTGTAGTTCTTAGAGTTAACTAAGTTAAATACACAAAAACTAGTAAATTGTTTATATCAGTCCCTGAGGAGATTGATCTTACTTGAGCCATTCTATACTACAAACACTTGTTCTCTTACAAGAATTTTCTATGGTTTAACCCTTGTTTTACAACTGGTAAAATCACTATCACAAACCACAGTCTAGCGCCTAGGCGCCGCCTAAACCGATTTTTAGAACACTGGATATAGAAAATATGAGGTATTTCGTTGTTATGTTTTATGTTGTTTCTGTTAAAGGATAAAAACCAAACATGTTTTATTTGAACTCGCCTAAGCCCAAGGCCCCTCTTTTGACGTTTAATATATAGCTAAGCCCAAGTCCCGACCTTCTCTGTGTAATCCAATTTACTAAATCTTATTTACATAACCTTATAAATTGGTGTTGGAAAAACCTTGTTTCGTCAATGCGGGACAAAAGAACTTATAGTTTATTTTCATTCAAACTTCCAACAAATTAAGACATTCTAAAGAAAAATCGCACAATCAACTGACCTCGTGCAATATATAATCCACAATGGATCGTTCCACATCATGTCACTCACAAAACACAAACCTATTGTTTCCACATTTCTCTACAAACACTTTCTAAATATAGCTCAAACCAATCATGTTCTTCTCAAGCTGGAAAACAAATTCAAACCTAAAAACCAAATTCATCAACCCCCAATATGAGAAACGATGTCATGGAGGGCTTGTTAAACCAGAACAACAAGACAAACACAGGGTTAGGACGCTGCGTTTCACACATACAAGATGAATTAAAGAGTTTTAGATCGTATGTACGATGGATGTGTGTGGACCAATCTAATGCATGGAGGGCATGCATTTCTTGGTCCATATTCATCTTGTTTGCAATCGTTGTTCCTGCCATTTCCCATTTTGTGTTCACATGTGCATCATGCGATGGCAAGCACAAGAGGCCTTATGATAGTGTAGTGCAATTGTCTTTGAGCAGCGTTGCGACGGTGTCGTTTTTGTGCCTGTCATGGTTTGTGAGGAAGTTTGGGCTCCGGAGGTTCTTGTTTTTCGATAAGCTTTATAATGAGAGCGAGACGGTCAGGAGGGAATACACACAACAGCTCAATGTGAGTTATTTAATTCAAATTCTCCATTGATTTTTGTTTTCTAATGGGTATTTTTTTTCACAAGTTGTTTTACTAATTTGAATTGTGCTTAGAATGGAAATTAAATTAGGTTTAGTTTTTTAGAAGAAAACGATTTGATACAAAACCACCTCATCTGAAAAGCAGTATATTAATAGAAACCATGTAGAAATTCATCACTATAATAATTAAGGAACCCTAACAAAACTAACCACTGAATCGAATGACACCAAAACTTAACATTATGAAACTACAGAATTTGATTCAATGTAAAACAATGAGTAGAAATCAAATTAATAAGCGTGGTTAGGGCGAAACCAGGATTTTGCATAGATGTGGGCTGGGCAGACTCGATGAGCTCGGTTGAACGTAGAACATACATGTTGTTGGGTTTTTATTCGCATAGTGGAGTAAAATGTGAATAATGCTTTTGACATTTTACTCCACTATGCAAAAAGTAGACAACAAGGTAGGTACGTCTTGTATCTTCTTTCTCTGTTTCTCGAACTCACACATATGTTGTTCCTTGTAGAGATCATTGAAGATTCTCTGCATCTTTGTAATGCCATGCTTTGCCGCGGAGAGTGCATATAAGATTTGGTGGTACGCATCTAGAGCCTCGCAAATGCCTTTTCTGGGCAATGTTTACGTGAGTGACGTGGTAGCATGCACGCTAGAGTTGTGCTCGTGGTTGTATCGTACAACTGTGTTTTTTCTCGTGTGCGTTCTGTTCCGTCTAATATGCTACCTCCAAATCCTACGGCTCCAAGACTTTGCCACTGTGTTCCAAGAGCAATCTGATGTCGGGTCAGTGTTGTCCGAGCACCTTAGGATCCGAAGGCACTTAACAATCATAAGTCATAGATACCGAGGTTTCATCCTATGGTCATTGATCTTGGTCACGGGCAGCCAATTTTCCTTGTTGCTCATCACAACCAGGTCTAGTGCCACTGCCAATCTTGATGTTTATAGATCCGGTGAACTTGCGGTATGCCTTCATTTCCAGTTTTCACGTGTTGATTTGTATAGCTCAGAATCCGCAGAGGATCCGTTTTAATGTTTTTTCTGTTCCTTTTCAAGAAGAAAAAGGACTATTTTGGTTATGAGTGAGAGAGATGATAATCAACTGGGTTACTTTCCAGCCTCAGAGAATCATTTTATGAACAAAAACTAATCTCAGTGATGATGTTTTATTTTTTTGGTGCAGTTATGCTCCATAACTTTAGTCACTGGAGTCCTCATCTTACTGCGCAGTGCAACCAAAATCACACACAAGGCCCAAGCAGTCACATGCCTTGCTACAAAGTGGCACGTTTGCGCCACATTGGAATCCTTTGATGCGAACGAAGGAGATTCTCCGCCGCCTGATGAGACGGGGAATGGCCGAGTGGTTTCTGGTGCCAGTAGTGACAGAGAATCAGACAGTGATTTGGCAAGTGATGATCAAGATGAACTGGAAAACGCCAAGTTTGTTCCATCATATGCATATAGTACAATCTCTTATCAAAAGAGACAAGCTCTAGGTAAGCCAGCCTAATTAAATAGCACATATGCATGTCATTAACAACTCTTATTCATTGATTAGTTTGCACTGATCATAAATTATAGTCAAGAATGGAATCACAATAATCCCCTAGATGATGGGATGGAGAAAATAATGTTTTAGGATAGTTTACATAGAGATTTTGACCATATATGGAAGGGGCGTCGTTCTTGAATAAAGAGCAAGCTGTCGATAAGTCGTAGATAATGTGTTGATGACATTGTAGTTAACAAAATGCGACAACATGTTATCGACACATTTTTTATTCCCTTGCAAGTGGTCATGTGCAATTCCTCCCATGTTATACACACATTAGTCTTTTGTATCGCTTAATTTGTTGATATAGAATATTTGTTGTTGTTGCAGTGACATATTTGGAAAATAATAGAGCTGGTATTACTATATATGGATTTACATTGGACAGGACTACACTCCACACCATATTTATGCTTGAGCTATCATTGATTCTTTGGTTGTTGGGTAAAACAGTTGGAATTTCTTGAGACAATAGTCCAACAGCAACTGTGTAGGAATGTGTATTATTGCAACCCAATGGAGTTTTGGAAAATATAGGGTTTTGGAATTTGAAGGGTGCATTTAGGAGACGTATATATTTGGTCTAATATAATATTTCCATTAGTTTTCACCACTGTATGTAATTCTCCCCTTATAGTTGTTCTCTTACTTTCTTTAATTTGTAAGTTGTAATTATAATTGTATTGTAATAGTGAGGAAAAGAAGTCAGGGTGGAATAAATGAATGATTAGCTAGGAGGAAGTAGATTAGAAGAGAAGTCAACAGGGAATTGAGAGCCTCCATCAAGAGAAATTATGTCGAATTCGACTCAAAAATTTGAGGCCAACACTTACCTCACTGTGGAAAACCAACAACACTACGTAAAGAGAAACATAACTCTTTTTCAGTCGTTCATATCCTTGTAAAAGTAAGAAACAATATTTTATCCTTAGTTGAGAAAATTGGAAAAATAGCAATGTAAATGTGTTAAATCCCTTGTTACACGCTTATGAAATAGAAACTTTCACGAACTATTTCACATTGAGCGAGCTGTGCATCGTGGATTCATATAGTTACAAGCTTATCATGTAAGAACTTTTCAAGCTTGGTATTGACAAAAGTATTATTTCTGAGATGATGCTTCGAGAGAGAAAGCATCTCCTTTTCTCTAGAAACTCACTTTCCCTTGCCTCACTCACCACCACCGACTCCGTTGCCAGTTTGAGAGTCGATGACATGATATTCCGACGTTCATCATCGCTCCCTTTCCACTATTTTGCTTTTTCTCCCCATCTCCTCATCTACTCCACCCTCTCTCGAAGCCCTAATTTCAATTTCCAAATGCCTACCCACCAACCCCATTCCCCATCCCCAACGTAACCCCTCTAACAAGATCCATCTCTCCCTACTCACTGCCGAATTGGCATGTCAACAAAATTAGGCCAAGTGTGGTACCCAACTCACGTCATAACAAGGGTGTTTTACTTCATCTGATCTCCCTTGGAAATGTGGCTGTGGATGGTGCAGCTCTTGATGACTTTATTTGGCTATCAGATTTACTTTTTGCATCTTTCTTTGGAAATTAGGGTTTCTTTTTTGTTATGGTTTGTTGTCTAATTTTTCTAGGATTAAATTTTGTGAGGGTCTCCCTCTTTGTTTTGGATTGTCACTCTCCTTTGACTCTTTCATGTCTGTTTTGTTTATATAGGACTGTAATGAAATTAATTATTTTTTACCAATAAAAATGCTTGTTATCAACAGTATCTTGAAGATTACAGTCATAAATGTTTGCCAACTTATTTTTACCACATGAATTTTTCTTTCCAGCCGCAAACTGTATAAAGTCATGTGTCCATCTGCGAAATGGTCGTATAGATCTGTCATTTTCTTTCCTAGATCTCCATCGTGAGAGTCTTGTAATTAGTCTGTTTCCATTGTGCTTTCGGGCCGGCTTCCACCAATACGAATAATAGAAAAAGACATTTAGTAGCAGAATTTCGCTGTTGTAAGATTTGGATGTTACACATTGACAACAAGGAGTCACCATTTCCATTACATTCGCAATTTAGTCACAACGACAAGAAGAAGTGACAACTTGCCAATTATTTCGCGTGCCACTTGTGATGCACACAATTAGAGCTGTAAATAGGTCGGGTTTATTGGGTTTGGATCGGGTTCAACCCGACCCGTTAAGTTAACGGGTCATCCGAACCCAACCCGTTAAGCTAACAGGTCACCCGAACCCGACCCGTTAAGCTAACGGGTCACCCGTTTCACCCATTATCACCCATTAACAATTATTATTATTTTTTTTTGCATAAAGTTTATTTTTTGTTATCAAGACTTTACTAAAATTACTAAAATATCCTCAACTAACAGGTGCTAACAGGTGTTAACGGGTCTAACGGGTTGACCCAAAGTGACCCGTTATTTAACGGGTTGTTAACGGGTTCACCCGTTAGCGACCCGACCCGTTAAGCATCCACCCAAATACAAATATTAACGGGTTGGATCGGGTCGGGTCGGGTTAACGGGTTGGGTCCAAAATGCCAGGCCTACACACAACTACGAAAACGAAACGAATGCGTCGCCGTTTCAGGCCTTGACCTCCACATGACATCCGATTAAAGTAAAACGTCCCGTCATGTCAACTCATCAAAACGACGCCGTGTGAGACAAGATTTAACGCCTTTACGTCGGTAAGAAGGAGTAGGACACCCTGGGGGAAAGAGAAACAAAAACAAACCCATCAAAGAGCGTCTCCGTTTTTAGGAAGTTTGGAAAATTTAAATCTGGAAAATCCCAAATTTTCAATCAGATTCTTTCTCTCTCGGGTTACGATTTATGGAAATTTCTTCAGTTCCGATCAGTTCGTGCTCCAAAGAGCATCAGAAAATCTACCAGGAATGGTTTCGATTCGCTGATTCAGGTGCGTGCTTACATTTTACACTGTCAGTCTGTCAACACGCATTTTCCAGGAAAATTTCTTGGTTTTCTGTTTGGTTCCCGATAAAATTGAGCAACTGTAATTGAGTTTCTTTTTTTCCTGTGGTTTTGTTCAGACGGTGATGGCCGCATTACCGGGGGCGATGCTATAAAGTTCTTCGGCATGTCCAATCTGAATCGGCAGGATCTCAAGCAGGTTAATTTGCGTTTTATTTTGTTTATCTGATATTTTCTTTTATCAAATTAGTGCGTCTCGTTTTCATTTGTTTGTCGTTTTTGCTGTAATTCAATACTATTAGTATTTGGTGAATTTGTTTTTGATGTAGGGGTTAGTGTAAGCTCAGTTAATGCGTTGTCGTATCATTTCAGAAATACATTTTGTTAGGATGGTGGGTTTGTATTTCCGTTGAGCAATGCGGATTTATTGTGACATGTAATACGCGAGTAGAGCCGTTGAAGTTGGCATCTGATTTTGCAGATTGGGTTACTTTGATTAATTCAAGCTTAAGATTATTATCTATATGCCAAACATCACAATGCATTTGTAGCAAAGCCCCTACCTTTTTTTATACTTTGGTTAAACTTTGTTGCTTGAATTGGGTTTACAATACATTTGTCAAATATCATTTTTTTCTTTTGGTGGCTTCCAGCCTGCTTTATAGAGGTTTTTTTATTTATTAAGTTCGTTACTTTTCTTAAGGTTTGGGCCATTGCCGATTCAAAGAGGCAGGGATATCTTGGTTTTAGTGAGTTCGTTGCCGCTATGCAGGTTATTTTATAAACTGTTATTTTTCTTTTCCATTTATCAAAAATCAATATTGGATTGATAGGAATCTGACATGTTACTGTTTTGTTTCTAGCTAGTTTCTCTTGCACAAGCTGGACATGACATTACACACGGTTTACAGAATAGCAATGGTGGGTTTCGTTTGTTTAACTTTGTGTTGGAATGCATGCTTGGTAGATACTCATGTATAAGTTGGTGACTTGTAATGCCTGCTTCTTCATAAATATGAATAGTGCACAAGTATTTTTTATTTACTTATTAATTTTAATTTCTTGTTTAGCAACACATGTAACTTAAACTTTGAATGCTGTGTTTCAGTTGACTTGGAAAGTCTGAAGCCTCCTGTTATGGAGGGTTTGGATTCATTATTATCAGCGGTACATATGCTTTTTAAACCTTTCTTATTTGTGTTACTCATTGTTATGGATTTATTTATTTTTAATTGATTCATTGTATATGGCTGAAGCAATTTGATTTCATTTACTTAATTTATTCAGAAGAAAAAGCATACGCTCAAGTCAAATGAAAACGAAGTAAATGGTGAGGAGTTTCTCTAACTATGAGATGTGTACTGCTACTTTTGGTTTTGGCTGTCGATTCACATATAATCTGTGACGCAGGAACTGCTGTGGTGCAACAATCACCTTCAGCGCTTTGGTTTTCTTCAAAATCAGCAAAAAAGGTATATGTTGTTTCTTAGTTTTGGAGGCATTTGCCCTTTTGCTTTCACGGTATTCAGAAAAAGGGATTTATCCTAAAATTGTTTCTATTGGATACGAACTTGAATTTTCTTATTTGGATAAGTTGAGTTTATTTTTTCATTTTTTGTGAGAAATTTATGATTGCAAAATACTTATGTTTTTATTAGGTTAAGTTTATCAAGGTCATGCAAAAGCTTTGAGTCAATTAAGACTCTGCGTCCACAAGAAAGGCTAGAAGGGGCCATTTTACATAGTGAAAAAAATGGAGAGAGAACCTTGCATACGTCAGTTTTAGGTTTTTTATGCGTGATATGTCAGAGTTGGTTATCAATTTTCTGTGATGAAATTTGCAATACTGTTGGGTAGACATGAGTTTTTCACTCCGTTTAATACCTTATAAAAAAATCTTTGGCATATTTTTAGGTACCGCTTTCTTCTGTGACATCAATTATTGATGGGTTGAAGAGACTGTATGTTCAGAAGCTGAAGCCATTAGAAGTTACTTACAAGTTCAACGATTTTGTGTCCCCCTTACTGGTGAGTGAGAATTATTCCTTGCTTCTAGTTCTTTCATCAGATTTAATGCCCAGTCCCTCATAGTTTTATTTCATTTTTTTTTATTGGATCTTCTCAAACATATATCTAATTGTGGCATGTATTAGTTATCAATTGATATTTATTTGCTTTATTCTGCAGACAAATAGTGATTTTGATGCTAAACCCATGGTTATGCTTTTGGGTCAATACTCCACTGGGAAAACAACATTCATTAAACATTTGCTTAAAAGTAGTTATCCAGGCAAGTTATCCTCTGGGAAAGTGTGTCTTTGTGTAATTATTTTTCTTGCACAGAAAGTGTGTTCATCTATTTCATCCCTTATCTTATTTTACTTTTGACAGGAGCTCACATTGGTCCCGAGCCTACAACCGATAGATTTGTTGTTGTTATGGTAATTGCCAATTTATCTTCTTTTATGTTGTCATTAAGACAGTTCTGAATTGCTTAGCAATTCAAAGTTAAACTAAATGTTTTATATGGTTGCATGCAAGTTAAAAAGCCATATAATTAGGCTTTACAGGGACTCAGTAAGAAGGTAGAAACTAAGAGCCTGTTTGTTATCCTTCTTGGATCCAATTTTTTATTTTCAAAAATGACAAATGTAGCTAAATTACTTGACATTCATTAGTTTCGAAAACAAAAAGTTGGATTCGAGAAGGATACCAAAAATCCCTATACTTCTTAAACAGATAGCCATCCATGGCTTGCCTTAAATTTTTGTGCTTTCAATTTAAAGAAACTTTTTCTTTATGTTTATGTGTCACCCTTTTTGGTAATTTTCAGTAGGGGTATATATCCTTTAACATTTCATTAAAACTAGGGTGCATTGGCACTTTTGACAATGTAATCTTGCGTTTTGTTCTATATATTAGAGACTGTTGTATTTTAAATTTCAATAGAAAAAAGACAGTTGTATTTTGTCTGGTTTCTATTGGTTGAAATAGTCTCTCATACCAGTCATGAGTCTGGAATTGGAAGACAGATTGCAGAGCAGTGTGGCAGAATGCCAAGGGTATGGATAGGGTACTAAGCTTGTTATTAGCCTAGTTCTAGGAATTTGGAGAGAAATTGAGGGACATTTTGTGTTTCTGGTCATTGTCAATAAAACAATATTTCACTTGTTACCCTTATATACTCTGTTGGTTTTCGTAGATATTAAACTTTTCCACATTCCATTTGCAGTATTGTCTTTTGTTTTTTGTTTTCTGTTAACGTTTCTGAAATTAATATTGTTTACTAGTTAATTCTTCTTGCATGTAGTCTGGACCTGATGAAAGAAGTGTTCCTGGGAATACCATTGCTGTCCAAGCTGACATGCCATTTAGCGGTCTCACAACTTTTGGAACAGCATTCTTGTCAAAGTTTGAGTGTTCTCAAATGCCACATTCTGTGAGTTATTTTTCAGAATCACCTTGAAATTCTCCGAGTTGCCCTTTGAAACACCTAAAGCTTACACATTTTTATATCCAAGCTGCTAGAACACATTACATTTGTGGATACTCCTGGAGTTTTATCCGGAGAGAAGCAACGGACACAACGAGCCTACGATTTTACTGGGGTAACTTCGTGGTTTGCTGCAAAGTGTGACCTCATTCTACTTCTGTTTGATCCTCACAAACTTGATGTCAGTGATGAGTTCAAGCGCGTTATTTCATCTTTACATGGCCATGACGATAAAATTCGTGTTGTTCTGAACAAGGCAGATCAAATTGATACCCAACAAGTAAGCATAGGCAATACATGGATCTCTTTGATTATTATCCTTCTACATATTTTTGTGGGAACTTAATTAGGTCAGTGGATGCTGCGCTTAAGTCATTTTTCATTCTTGGTATGCAGTTGATGAGGGTTTATGGAGCATTGATGTGGTCACTTGGGAAGGTTCTTAATACTCCTGAGGTCATGCGAGTTTATATTGGGTAGCCTCTCCATCCTTGCATTCATTAACTCCTTGGAAGCAAATCCTGTAGTTGCAAATATATTCCAATGTTCCTTGCATATACCTTGGTTCGATCGTTGCAAGCTAATTTTCTCTTTTGCAGCTCCTTCAATGACAAACCTGTAAATGAGGCTGCTACGGGTCCAGTTGGGAAAGAACTCTTTGAAAAGGAACAGGAGGATCTTCTGGCTGATTTAAAGGATATTCCAAAGAAGGCTTGTGATCGCAGAGTGAGTTTGTTATATTTACGTATCTTGAATCTTTACCAAGTTGCTCTCTGGTTTTATTTGCAAACTTGCAAGCTTTATGTAGAGGTGATATTAGGTTTGGGCCCCTTATTTATTTCTTGTTAGAAACTGAATATTTCTTGCAGAGATTCATATGGAATGGAATTTTGATGACCTTTGTTTTTCGCAGATCAATGAATTTGTGAAGCGTGCCAGAGCTGCCAAGATACATGCTTACATAATTAGCCATTTAAAGAAGGAGATGCCTGCCATATTGGGGAAAGCTAAGGCTCAACAGAGGCTTATTGATAATTTGGAAGATGAATTTAAAAAGGTACTATTTCCCCCCTCCCCCTGTCGTATGCACACTCTCTACTCTATAATGCTCACACTTTGACGTACTATACAGGTTCAGAGGGAGCACCATCTACCTCCAGGGGATTTCCCAGACGTAGACCACTTCAGGGACATCTTGAGTGGTTACAGCATTGACAATTTCGAGAAGTTAAAGCCTAAGATGATAGATGCCGTCGATGAAATGCTGGGTTATGATATCCCAGAACTCTTGAAGAATTTCAGAAATCCATACGACCAATAGGTAAAAACAGTTCTGAGAAGTATCATGAACTACGGTGGCTTTGAAGTGCACATGTTGATGGAGCGTTGCTCGTCTTGAGTATCCTAGTGTTTGTTGTAGCATAATATGGTTTCAACTCGTATTACAGTTTTTCCGGGATTTAGATGGTGCCAATCGCTATAGAAGGTTTCGCGAGCGGGCTCCTTATTTATAATGTTAATATTGTTGGGGAATGATTTAGGACCAAGGGCAGGCGATTATCAAAGTGCCTAAACGATCGAAAGTGAATGAAAATTTTATGTGCACTATTATTCCCTGAGAGGTTTACGAACTCTATTGTCACAGTTGCGGATTTATGTATTTGTTGAATTCTTTGTCCAATTGTAGTTTCATGGAGCAACTGTGAATTCATCTTCTTCCTGTTCTACGTAGATTATGATTCGAATTGGTTTAATCTCTCTCCAAGCCTTGGACTTGAAACCCTCTCTCTACTTCTGCAAACTCGTCTTGATCTTTCAGTTAGATGGTTACTATCTGCCTAACAAGGGTTTTCGAAGCCCTTTCAAGTACATGAGCTTTATTCCGGTGTTTGATCTCTACGGTACCATGGAAATGGAAGCAATTTGTGGGAGAGGGCCCAATTTAGGAGAAATTTTTAGGTGTTCCCGTCACCCCACATCACCATCACACTTGGTGTACCCATCCAATCAGGTGATGTCATGTTTTCCATTAAAGTGTTTGTTAAGATTTTCCTAAAAAATAAATCAGAAAAATTCTTTAATGGGAAACGTGGCATCCCCTAATTGGATGGGTACACAAGTGTCCATGGTGATGTGGGGTGACGGGAACACCTAAAAAATTCTCCCAATTTAGAGCTCCAAAAAATCTTTGGGACTTTATAACAGAATCTCTTCCAATGAGAGCCTTGTTACTTTTGACTCTATAGATTTATTTATGTAATAATTTGATTACGAGATAAAAAAAAAATTGTGTAAACTTTTCTTAAGTTGATTTTTAAATGAGTTGTTTTTATATGGGGCTAAAAAAATTCAAATTCTGACTAAATTAGATTTCATCACTTATGAACTTTTGGATTACGTTCTCTTATCTCAATCTTATCCGTTGATTTGTTTCTTTGAAATCAGACAAGATCAGATTTTATCTCATAACTAAATTGTAATGCCCTTGCAATTTAGGTGTATTGTTTGTTTATGTTTTCGGTTTATGTCTCTAAACTTCCAATGTCATTTTAATCTGTAGTGTGTTTTAATTTAGAAAATAACAAAAGTAAACCCTTTTAGTAGAACATCTTATATCATTTTATGTCTTAAGCATTAAACATACAAATAAAATGGTGGACATTTTGAACAAAAATATGCAAAGAGAAAGAATTAAAAAAAGAATAAAAGGAGAGTATATGTGTATTCGTAAGTGGGGAAAGAGAGACAAAATTTGGCTCACATGGATAGCTACTTTTCTTGTGGACCCAACTCATTTTTGGAGTTGGATATAGCCTAATTTTTTGCTACCCAATAAAAAAAGTTGTTAGCCCAAATGATGGATCTAGCCTCATTTTCCGATTCATTGGGAATAAAATTTCTCATTAGGGCTTCAAATGTAGCAACTTCATGAAGGATAAAGCCTCCATTGTGTATGCTCCTAGAACTAGGCTAAGATCCATCTACAACAATGCTTGCTAGAGTAAGGCTTTTCAAGTACGAGATCCCTATTCCGTTATTCTTCTGAAATGTAAAATGGGGGACAACAAGTTACGGTCTTACTGTAGCAAGCAATTTGGGAGATGCTTTTACGCCAATATCCATTTCACTCATTGCAAGCCAACTTTAATTAGAGATCAGCAACAGTTATGACGGGTGGATAACCGCGGTTATTTATTTATAACTTTTCAAGTCATTATCCGTTTAACTTTTATCCGTTGGTAGTTCTATAAACAAGTATACCTATACAGATAACCGATTATAAACGGGTAACTGTACCCATTTAACTGTAACGGCATACCCATTTATTCCTTTTTTTTTAATAAGTTGACAATAGAAAAACACATAATTACCCCTTGGTTTCGGTGTGTCAGACATGTAGGATTACTTGAGAAGGGGTTTTTAGCTAGGTCAAATTCTAAGGTAAGTATATGTAGTTTCTTCCATCAAGTATATAAATTATTTTTCGGGAGTCTGCAATGGTCAGAAACCAGAGATAGCTAAGCTTTAGGGACATGGAGGATCACCCTTGACCTTAAAATTGAGTTTGAATTTTTATGGGTTGGGGATGAAATGGAACTTGCCAATTGTTGGTCATCTGTCCTTCAAATTTCTGAGTACATAAAAAAGGAAAAATGAAAACTATTTTAAATTGTTCGACAAAGAAATAGAAATGCAAGTTGAAAACTATTTGCAATTTTGTACAATATTCTATTATCATTCCAAGTTAAATGGATATGAGAGAGAAGGGCGGCGATAGGAGAAATCTCGGTGGTCGAACAATTTTTAGGGTTTTTAATTTGACAAAAAAAAAGGTTAAACAAGTATTTGTTTGTATAGGTGGCTAATACTTATATTCATTTATGTTTCACGGGTAAGTGGGTCTACCCGTAATCGGTATTTATTTAAACGGTTTCCATAACTATAATTGTAAAGTTTAAAAGGGTGGATAACTGTAACTACCCATACCCAGGATATTTTGCCCATTCCTAATTATAATCCAAAAAAATTTGTTGATTATTAATCGCCTCACAATTGCATGCTATAATTAGGAGTTCATAGATACCAAATTTTCAAGTGGTATCCCTGCATAGAGATGTACCATGGGTCGAGCTAACCCAACCCAACATGACCCCGACCTGTTTAAATTTTTGTGGGTTGTGACTGTTAGGTTTTCTTCAATGGGGACAAGCACAGGATGCACTATATCTCGGATTGGGTCAAAAAAATTCGGCCGAAACACAATTGAGCCAATCTTAATGGTCCAGGTCGAGCTAAGTTGGGCCATTACACACCTCCTTGCTCTCGAGATCTTGAATTCACATCGCTCCTCTCTCAATTTGTAACAATTTGTTGTGTGTACTAGAAACACCACCACATAATGTTATATTTTCATGTGTTATTATATGAGTGGACGACATTATGAAAAAAATATGAAAAAAAATCTTCAGGAGCATTCCCCATTAGCAACCACTTCCCCTTGTTCCGGTTTCTCTTCTTACGACCTTCATCTTTGTCAAAAGTAACACTAATGTTCAAAGGCAACAAATTGTCCCGATTGGCCCATCTCAACCATTACTGCACTAAATCATACTCGATATTTTATCTTTAAGAACGATATCTCTAAAATTGTGTACATTCTATAAGCTTCTGGTAAAGCAGCCTCCAACAAAGTAACACCATTCGAATAAGTGGTATTTAGAAGGTAATCTTTTGGTTTCAACAACATTGATGCACCACCAACAAAGTTTGGACTAACTGAAGGAAATGCCTCAGCCAAACTAGTAAAACTAGAAACTGCATAAAGTTGTTTTCCTGCTTTAGTACTGATAGTCAGTTTTTGAAACATTAATGCTTATCTAGCCCCCAAACCCATATGAACACCGAGCACGCCCTGCACAGCACAACCCCAACCCAAAGAAACTTAATGATTGCTATATGCTTCACAGTTGCATGCTATAATTCGGCCTCATAGATTCAAGGTACCTTATTTTCAAGTTATTACCATTGAATAACGATGTACAACAAGTCGAGCTAACCAACATATCACGAGTCCGACCTGTTTAAAGATATCCCATAACTATACAATGCTCTTTTTTTGTGGGTTGGACCAAGCACCACATGAATCATAACTCAGATTGAATCAACTCGAGGTAGCTGTATTTTAACGAATGTTAGAGATATTTTGAAGTGAAAATGTATAGTCAAACTACAAAAACAATATTCTTTTTTAGATTCTAGGAGAAAAAAATGGAGGTGACCAATGTTGATAAATGAATCACTCTAATACTAAAAAACTTAGGCTATAAAAAGGCTCTCAAAACAATCAAAACAATAAGAGAGTTCTTTATTGGTTAATTATCATAACAATGAGGACTATGTATATCTTAATAAAGCTTCTTAGCTCCATATTTTTTCATGCCTTGAAAGGAAATAGACATATGCATAATTGGGAGTTCATAGATTCAAGTGGTTATTCTTGCATAGAGATATACAACAGGTCAAGCTAACCCAACACAGAACAACCCGACCTGTTTAAATTTTTATGGGTTAGAACAAACATGACATGCATCGTAGTTTGGATTGGGTCAAGGTTTTTTGGCACAAAACATAGTTGAGCCAATCTTAGGGCTGGTTTGGTATTGCTGTGCTTTGAAAAAAAGCTGCTGTGAGAATAAGCGGCTGTGCTGTGAGAATAAGCGGCTGTGAAATAAATCAGCAGAGTGTTTGGTAAACTTTTTTGTAAAAGTGCTTTTGGAAAAAAAAGCAGTCTGATAGTGGATCTTTTCATTAAAGGAGCACTGTAGTTCTATGTGCTTTGAAAAAAAGCCAGTTTTCCAAAGCTACAAATTGCAGCTTCAGCTTTTTCCTTTGATTTCAGCTTATTCTCACAGCAGCTTCCAAAATAAGCTCTTTTTTTTAAGTTTACCAAACACCAAAAACACTCCCAGCTTTTTTTCATAGGAGCTTTTTTTAAAATCACCTCAACCCCAAACTGGGGCTTAATGGTCCAGGTTGGGTCATTCCACACCTTCTTGCTTCCTGAGGTCTTGAATTCACATCACCCGTCTCTCAATATATTGTGTATTAAAAACACCGCCACATAATGTTACTTTGGAATATATCTCACTTCAAGCTATGTTAATACACACACACATCACAATATAAAGTGAGAAATATATATTTGAATAAAATAATCTCTATTATTGATCTCTGACATTACGAAATTGTTTAATGTGTTTCTTTAAACACTCACGCACTCTCTCTCTCTAATCCTTAAACTTGAAACCCTATCTCTACTTTTGCAAACTCATCTTGATCTTCCTATCAGATTGTTACTTTCATCCTATAGAGTCCGACTTGTTGGGTACTACCTGCCTAACAAGGTTTTACAAGGGCCTTTCTCTTTTCTGTTCTTTTTTTGCCGATACAAAGACCTTTCAAGTACGGGAGCTTTATTTCAATGTTCGATCTCTATGGTACGACAGAACCCTGGAAACTATGGAAGCAATTTGGTGAAGACAACTTAGAACCAAGCCAAGATCCACCTATAACAATGCTTGGTACGTTAAGGTCTTTCAAGTACGAGAACCTTATTCCGGTGTCCTTAATGTAGCAAGCATGCTTTTAGTGCCAATATTTATTTCAATCATTGCAAGCTGATAGGGATTTTACCACCTACAAAAGTAAGGATAAAAAACACTTAAAAATACATGCAAGAGAACAAAGTAGTCGTAGTATAAACAGCTCAAGTAAGGTCATTTTTCGTAGGGATTATTTTAAACAATTTATGAAAAATCCTAATCCTAGTTAATTCATTGAAAATAAAGATTGGAAAATGTAGATTTTAAATTTAAAAATAATAAAAACGAATTTTTAATAAAAGTAATTTAGGGAAAGCAACTAATAACCAATTAAAAAGGAAACAAAACAAGAGAAGAGATTTTAAGAAACAAATTTGGAAAAGCACTAGGGTTCCGCCGTCATCCTAACAATCCTACGTAATTCTTCTAATTCCTTATGAATTACACATGCATACTTTGAAGGTTAGATTTTCCTAAAGTATGCCTTACTTGGAACCCCCAACATATAACGTATATCTAATCATGCAATCCGTCCGTGGCGTCCAAATCGAATGTAAACATTTAAGACTCATTAAGTTTTGTGAAAACCTTTTGAAAAACCATATAACTCCTAAGACGTGTCGTCTATCCTAAGTAGTTACACATGTTAACCACAAGAAGCCTTAGTCAATTTTAGGGACAGCCCTCCGCCAAAATTGCATCAAATTACTTTTCTAATTATCCTAAAGGTCGCGAATCACTAAGACAAATAGATAGTTTAAAGCACAGTGATTAACAATCCAAAACTTGCATGCATAAATTCATAAGAAAATTAAGAAGAGGCTACATATTTTTGCTAAGGATCATGGCCTCACCCTAGCAAAAGAAAATTAGCTACACATATTCATAATTATATTAAACTAGAAAAAGAATGAAAACACCTGAAAGTATAAGTCTTGAATTCTCTAAGTTTTTCCCAAAGTCTTCTTCTCAAATCTTCCGTATGTTCTCCCCGAGAAACCCTAGGTCTGCCAAAAGGCTTATTTATACTACTCTAAATAAAACCCTCCTAAATAAAAAGTCTTAGAATAAGACTAGGAAACTAAATAAATTAAAATAAAATAGGAAACATAATCCTAAATTGACTTGGTAAATTTGCCTATAAATCTACACAGCCACGTTCTGGACCCGTATCAGCTCCAAAACTGGGCCAAAATAGCTGGATTTAGAGCTTGGACTATTCTGAACACTTCTCCAGTAGGCCACGAACCCATCTGATGTCATCTTGGGCTCCAAAAACGCAGTTTAAGTCCAGAAACGTTACTTTTCAGCTACGCGCACTGCTCCTTCATTTAATCGCCAGAAAATAACCACCTGGTAGGATAATCCCAAATTTTAACACAAACAAGCCAAGAGACACACGAAAGTCCTCCAATTTGAATTGCTCCAAAATTCATCTGTTTGATCATGTTTTGCTCCAGAGGAAGTCATATATCCTATATTGAAAATATAAAGCAAAGTATCAAAATTCTACCAAAATAATTACCAAATTATACTAAGAATAGGGTAAAATGTATAATATAATATTGACTCATCACAAGCCAATTTTAATCCAAAGAAACTTGTTGATCACTATATGCCTCACATTTGTATGCTATAATTGGGACTTCATAGATTCAAGTTGTAACCCTTGTATGGAGATGTACAACAAGTTGAGCTAACCCAACACAAAATGAACCCAACCCGTTTAAATTTTTGTGGGTTGGGACAAGCACGACATGCACCATGGCTCGAATTGGGTCAAAGATTTTTTGGCACAAAACACAATTAAGCCAATCTTAATGGTTTAGGTCTAGTTAGGTTGGGCCATTAAGCACCTTCTTGCTCCTGAGGTCTTGAATTCACATTACCTGATTACCCCTCTAAATATTGCGACAAATATGTTCTGTGTATTAAAAACTTGTCACATGATGTTACATTTCCATGAATATGTCTCACTTCAAGCTATATTAATATAATAATATATAACAATATATAGTGAATATATATATACACACACACAACATATATTCCAAGTATTTTGAAAAATTTCTCCTAAAGTTGTGCTATTTACACATCCATTTTTACCTCTTACATATTTTTCTTGATTTGACTGTCAGATTGAACGATTTGAAGAAAATCAATGTACAAAATTAACAAAGATGTGTGAGAGATAGAAATGTGTTTGTGAATAGCCCTACCCTTTCTCTAATATAGCTTGCGAAGAAAAGGATGAGAAAAGCGAGGGAGAATAATAGAAGTATTTATATGAGAATAATACTTGACCACTTAAATGATGAGTAGGAGTTCATACTTAAAACTCTTCATTTTTTATTTATAGACTTTCGTGTTTATGATTAGAATCATTCATATTATAAATTTCTCTATAAAGATCATGTCTACAAAAATTCAATTAGAACTAAGGTCGTTTAGTCATCGAATTGTATAAGAACAAATGGACGGAAATGGTAAAAACATTACGAACCGTTTGTCTATTTACTACAATTGATCAACTTAATGATCTTAGTTTTAATTCATTTTTTATAGGGATAATATTTACAAAATGATTTATAATATGACCGGTTTTCATTAGAAGCACAAAGTTCTGTAAATCGAACACGAAATTTTTTGAGTAAAGTCTCCCGCTCATCCTTGAGTACCCCAAGCATTGCTCTTTATATGATCATACGAACTTGAAACTTCATACATTCCAATAAAGTTCCCAAATAATAAACCTATAAATTGCAAGCCTGGCTGGATTAAGGTCAAGGTACGGTACTGCCTAGCGTGAAGGATTTAGAGACAGCAAGCAATTAGACTAGACATCCTCTGTCTGTCTCTGCACGTTTAGGTAAATTATTACCTTCCAATTTTTCCATACCAAATCTCACCAAATTAATCACTGCCATGATCATTGTTATTTTTAACTTTGCGATCTCCTTAATACCAATTTTGAGTTAAACTATTATTTTTAACTCTACACCTTTAGATTGTGTGTTCTTGTGGGAGTTGGTGTTCTGAGAACGGAAGTTGCACTTTTATGTGCAACGCTTTTTTGGAGAACTTATCTCATGCGCATAGTTGCACAAACTTAGATAAGTAGACACAAGAAAGATGGGTACTTAATTATGCATTTTTTTATCTGTTTAGTGCAATATGAAGTTTATGTTCAAATTATAGACATCTCTTTGAACTGGGTAATCGAGTGGTGGGAAAGTTGTGTATATGAATAGTGTAATAGTTTACTGGGTCAATTGTGACGAAAAGTTGAAGAGTGTTTTGTTGGGCTTGAGGTTTCACCCCACGGTAATCTTTTCTCTAAGAAGCATTGTATAATTCTTGGTACCGTATGTCGTAAGAAACCATTTCATGAGTAATTGCAGCCTCAGTCATCCGTTTTAAGTTATGTTCTATTTCATGTCCAGCCCTTTGTACTTGGTATTCAATATGGTTTTGTAGACCTTAATGGTAGTTTTATAAGGTAATATGTTTTTGTTTAAATACTCATCTCATCTGTATGGCATCTCTGTCGGTGTCAAACTTAGACTCGGGAAAAATGAACGATCATATCTTTTATATAAATAATGGGATGGTGCCACAGACAAGACTACTAGAACATAAATTACATACACCGCATTCTATACTTTGTACTTCTCATAGAAATTGAACCAGGTCAGTTTTAAATACATGATCTGCAACAATGGCATTTGTTTTCTCTGTGGGGTGGAAGGCATCCCAGAATACATATTTATTTGGATCTGAACATGTGAACGGGTTTATCTTATTACACAGATAGCTCATCTCGAACATTCCTGTGCCGCAGCAGGCTTTTGCTACATTTTCAAATCCTGCAAAATAGGAAATTTACCGGATTGTTTTTTATGTCATGCACAAAATCTGTAAGTGACAATAGAATTGGAATCATAGTGAAGACAAGACCATAGAACTCACCAAAAAAGGCTGGGTTTCGAATGATTTTTGAGACAATATCGTATGGGTCTGAAAGAACAAGTTGAAATTTAACCAGTTCCTTCTTGAGCTTTTCAACCAATCCCTGCAACTTCTTGTTGAAACTCCTAGCCACATCATTGTACTTCTCATTACAAACACCCCCAGAAATGATATTTGTAGTTCTCTCCAGTGGCACGCAACCCATTGGAGGAAGGCCGCTTATAACCATCTTCCGAGCTCCAAGCTGGTAAAGCTCTCTGATGAAATTTCCAGCAATTCCTAGTAGAAAGTTTTGGTACTCCTCAATGGAAAACTGAGATCGTCTGCGTGAAAATACAAAGTAGTTTTCTAGAAAATCATTAGTTCCTATACTAATCAGGTAAAGTGCTTCTCCCAGAACCTCGTTAGCTTTGTCGTTGCCTAGATAGCGTCGCAGCTTCTTCTGGTATTCCTTATAGTACTCCAGTTCTTTCCAAAGAGGTATCACAGACTGCAAGATTAGTTTAGCAGCTGTAAACAAAACAAGCCTGTATGTCTTTATTTTAACTTTGTATAACTATTCTGATTTGAAACGACACGAAAGCAATAAGATGATTGAAATGATTAGAACTCAGAATTAACTGAGTTTCTGAAAATTGTTGGAAACAACTATTTTATGTTTTTAGATTAGTTTTCCTTGTTCTGTTTTCAATTTGTTGATTCACTCATGCATCAATCAGGTATTGAACCTACGAACTCGCCATTCCACCCCATACCTGAGGGGGGAAGGAGATGTTATTTGGCCCGAAGGTCATTGCCGCATGTTAGGCGTACTAGGTTGAGTCATAATGCGACTTACTAGCACATCAGAAGTAGCATTATCATAGCCAGTTCCGGCAGAGGCAAAGCAAACTCCGGTGGCAAAATCCGAAATGCTATAGGCAGGATCCAAGTATGCAGGTATGGTCGGCTTGATCATAAAACCTTCAGAAAGGAAGTCCGTTGCAAGCCTACCGTTGGAAAACCGGCCAGTAGCCAAGCCTCCATAGAAATTGTGACCGTAGGGTTCAAAGTTGCTCTTTAGGACTGTCGATATCTGGTTGTTGTTCCCTGCATCCACAGTAGAGTCTCCAAACACAATGATTGCTGGAACTCTGGCACACACCATAGAAACCTGCACTAGGAGATGACCTAGGAGGAGCCATTGAGTGGCCTTAACTATCATATTTTCTCTTCTCTCGAACTCACCGGTTTAGAGTATAAAAATGGTGCAGGTTGTTGGTAGGGATGGTTTGAATATATATGAAATGGAAGAACCTCGTAGAAGTGGAGGTTGATGAAGTTTGTTGGAGGTTTAACTTCTGTTGGGGTTGTTGCATGTGGGAGAGTCAATGGTAGAGGAACTGGTAAGGAAAATAGGAGGAATGACCTAATTTGTAGCTGAATCTGAAACCTAATAGATAATTGAGTCATGAGTTGGAGATTCTGGTTTAGGGATGGTACAAAAAGGTGAATATAGATCATGACTCTGGCCTTGTCATAATTGTTTAATTCTTAAACCCCAATGAGAAAGGTAAAAGGATTGAAGGATTAAACAAGGCTAGAGAGAGATATAGGAAAAACAATTTTGTTGGTGTCGTTGTATTTACGCTTTCTGCGTTTTAGGTGATTTTCAGATTTTCAAAATGAGTAGTAGGATTTTAATTTTCTCAAATTGCACTATAAAGTTTCAAAGTCTTGTTAATTTATGTCTTCAGTTTATTTAATGTTATGATTGTACGTTAAAGTAATGATTTGGTGGATGTGGAATCTGTTTCTAGGCTGTATACAAGCAAATTTTGCACCATTGAGACCAAATTGTATGATTGGTTGTACTTTGGGTGTAGCTTCCACGTCAACTCAGAAATAATTCACACGCTTGTCATGTCATCAATTTAACGAAGGATCATAAAGTCAAACAGAAAAAATACACAAATTGATACGAACGTGAAAAGATTGAAACCTACTGACTCATTGTAAACTTCTCCGAGAGTGACTTTTTCAATCATTTGCCAACCAAAAATACTTTCAACGTTGTTCCCTTAAAAACTTGAGAAGTGTTTTCGAGTCATGGAATTTCTTTGGGTTTATTTTTTCTTTTTCATGCCCAAATTTATGGACCATGGATCCACATATTGCTTATACTATACTGGCCCACATACTGGAGTATATTATTAGGCCCAAATGCTAGTGGTCATGTTGTCTAGAATATGTTGGGAACCCTGTTAACCATCCTATAAATGTTAAAAAGCTCATGAAAACTACTTATGATGCTTCTGGCAACTTTACTTGCACCCAAGGCTTTCGTAATATTATTCTTTATTTTTTTATTTTTTTTATTTTAAGAGACGATATTAATTCATAGAATAATAAAATGAGTACTATAAGTGATGAGCTGCCATTTCAAGCTCGAGAATTACAGCCTGAAAACAAAATATTCAAAATGATATCAGGTGGTTCTTCAAATCATGAACAAGAAACCAAACTTGCAACAACATAACGTGCCAAACGGTGAGCACCTTCATTGTTTTGGGGGCGAGTATGGGCCATAGTTGCTCCAGTGATCAAAGACAGCAAGACCTTTGAATCTTCCACGATGATCCTGATGGGGGAGTCATTTAGAAGCTCACAATGAAGAACTGAAACAATCTGGAGTGCATCACTCTCAATAACAATATTAAGAAATCGCCTTTGAACTGCCAACAACAACCCATCCCTTACCGCAAGAGCTTCGATATAGAGGGGCAAGGAAACGTACTTAAAAATAGCAAATCTTGCTGCTACAAACATACCCCGATGGTCCCGGATCACAATTCCTACACCACCCAATTTCACAGACTCCCTCCACGCACCATCGACATTGATTTTGATATGGTTCAGCTGGGGTCTAATCCAACGGGAAACGATATGAGAGGTGGAACTATAGCTGGTGGCTGCCACCGATCCCTAAAAGTCCATCCACTAGCTAATAGCTCTGGCAACAACATGATCAGGTTTTTTCGATTTTCCGTTCCAAAGCATAGCATTCCAAGCCCCCCAGATGGCCCACCAAACCATAAGGCTGTTGAATAAGTGGCCAAGTGGCCAAATGGAGAACAAAACAAAAAAAGCTTTTGGCTATTAAACAAATCAAAAGAAAAAAAGAACAACATGATTATGTTTCTTCCTTGTTTTGAGGAGAAAAAAAGGGTATTTTGTCTAAAGTTTTTTTCTTTGGCATATGTGAAAAGTCACGGGAATGGCTGCAGAAAAACATAGAGCAGGAAATAAAGAAAAGGAGAGAATTGGTTGTTGTGCTCCCACTTGTTGCATTTGGTAATGAAAGAAACCGAGAGAGAAGCAGAAAAATAAAAGGCAGCAGCCCCATTTTGAAGAGAAGAAGAAGGTGATCTTTTCTTTGGTCAGTAATCATCCACCAAGGTAGTTGTTGTTGTAATAGCTTTGAGCTTTGTATAGAGAAGAAATTAATCACTATATTTCTTTCTCTATTTGTTTCTTTGGTGTGTGAGAGCTATTGGTTGTATTGGGTTTTTTGGGTTGTGAGATTGCCAACACTTTGTAAACTTCCATTTGGTTGATAGTGGATTATTGGGTGAGCTCCTACTGCTCCGAGGACGTACTCCAGTTACACTGACTGAGGACGTACTCCAGTTACACTGACTGTTGAGGAACCTCGTTAAAATCTTGGTGTCTTTTATATTTTGTTCTTGCATTCCATTTGATATATTTCCTGTGGGTTAGCTTGAGTTGGTTCCATAAGGTTTGGTGCTATCCTAGCACAACAATTGGTATCAGAGCACTGGTTGCTCTTGGGTACTGTCTAGTTGCCAAAGATGTTAGACGGGCAAGATGAGAATCCTTTTGGAAGCAACTCCGGGTTTGCAAGAACTACGATGCAAAATGCAAAGTTTAAAGTGGTAAAGTTTGATGGCACAAACAACTTCGGGATGTAGCAATGTGAGGTCAAAGATGTGCTGGCTCAACAAGATCTACTTGCCGCTTTGGGAGAGAAGCCGGAAGTTATGTCGAAGCCGGAATAGGAGAAATTAAATTTGTGGGCTTGCTCTTCAATTCGGTTATGCCTTGCAAAAACTCAGAAGTATTTTGTGATGCGGGAGACATTAGCAAGTGTGTTGTAGCAAAAATTGGAAGACAAGTATATGACGAAGAGTGCAGAGAATCGGCTACACTTGAAGAAAAAGCTCTACCGCTTCCAATACAAAGAAGGTACAAAAATGATTAGACACTTGATGCTTTTAATAAGTTGATTGCCGACTTGTTAAATTTAGATGAGGATACTAAGGATGAAGATAAGGCTTTAATATTGTTGAATTCCTTACCGGACTCTTATGAGCATTTTGTTACCACTATTATGCATGGTAAAGAAACTGTAAAATTTGAAGATGTGTCAAATGCCTTGATGAATTATGAAATAAGGCATAGAGATAAGAACCATGTTAGTACCTCTGAAGCTTTATTTGTTAGAGGTAGATCATCGGAGAGAAGATCATCTTCTAGTAGGAAAAAATCACAGTCTCGACCTAGAGGAAACTCTAAAGGTAGAAAACCTTTGGAAATGGATGAATGCCTTTTGTCGTAATAAGGGCCATTGGAAGAAAGATTGTCCTAGATTGAAGACCAAGGGCAAAGAAAGTTCTGAAGCTAATGTTGCTGAGGTTGAAACAGATTTTTCTGATTTTGCTTTAACCACTTGCTCATCATTTGATTGTGCTACTAAGTGGGTGTTGGATACGGGTTTTACTTATCATATGACTCCTCACAAGGATTGGTTTTCAAGCTTGAAAGAGTTTGATGGTGGCGTTGTGTTCATGGGAGATGACAATCCTTGCACAACAAAAGGGATTGGTACAGTTCGTTTGAAGTTGCATGATGGCATGGTTAAAGAGTTGACCGGTGTTTGATATGTACCGAATTTGAAGAAAAATCTTATTTCTTTGGGTACTTTGGAATCCAAGGGCTTCAGGTTTCATTCAGATGGATAGACATTGAAAGTTACTTATGGTGCACTTGTTGTGATGAAAGCTCCTCGATGTGGCCATTTGTATTTATTGCAAGGAAGCACTGTGATAGGTGAAGCATCTGTAGTCTCAGAAAATATGGGCACATCCGATTCTGATACTACTAGACTATGGCATATGAGATTAGGTCATGCCGGTGAGAAAGCTCTACAAGGGCTTGTGAAACAAGGTCTTCTAAAATGTGCCACGACTTGTAAGCTTGATTTCTGCGAGCATTGTGTCTTGGGGAAACAAACTAGAGTGAAGTTTGGTACTGTTGTACATCAGATGAATGGCATTCTTGATTATGTGCATTTGGATGTTTGGGGTCCTACCAAGACTCCCTCTTTGAGTGGTAGACATTGGTTCGTGACCTTTGTTAATGATTATTCAAGAATGTCTTAGGTCTACACTATGAAGCACAAGAGTGAGGTATTAAGCATTTTCTTGGGTTGGAAGAAAATGGTTGAGAACCAGACTGGGAGAAAGATTAAGGTTTTGAGATCGGATAATGGTGGTGAATACACATCCGACCATTTCTTGAAAGTTTGCAAAGAAGAAAGGATTGTAAGACATTTCAGTGTTAAGGGAACTCCACAACAAAATGGAGTTGCAGAAAGATTGAATCGAACCTTGCTTGAGAAGGTTAGATGTATGTTGTCTCAGTCGGGTTTAAGCAAGTCATTTTGGGCAGAGGCAGTTAATTATGCATGTCACATCATCAACCGGTTACCCTCAGCTGCTGTTCAGGGTAAGACACCAATGGAGGTATGGACTAGAAAACCTTCTTCTGATTATGACTATATCCGTATTTTTGGTTCACCTGCTTATTTTCATGTGACTGAAAATAAACTTGATCCTAGAGCCAAAAAGGCTATCTTTCTTGGTTTTAGTAGTGGTGTCAAAGGTTACAGGTTGTGGTGCCCAGAGATGAAAAAACTTGTAATCAGCAGAGATGTGACATTTGATGAAGAAAGTATGTACAAAGTCTCTGAGAAGAATGTGAAAGATGTCCAATAGGTGGAGCTTGAGAAAGTTGCCTTTGGTACTTCAAATCCTATTTTCGCTGATGTTGAAGCCACTACAAGTGAAGAAGTTGGAGACCATGAGGATGTTGAACAAGTTGAACTTGAAGATTCTATTCAAGTTGAAGAGGAAGTTTCACCTCAAGAGTCTATTGCCAAGAACAGAGGAAAGAGACAAATTACCAAGCCAGCTCGGTATAGTG